GTGACGCCCTGGCAGGGCATCTAAATTGATTTCGGGAAGCTCAGTCAACCATGACTCCGGCTGTTAGTGAATACAACGGCAGAATATGCGCGTTTCCCGAAGAAGAGCCCTTGCATTTGCCATCTTCATATGAGGATCCAGCGGTCCGAAGACAGCTTGGCTTAGAGCACTTGTCTGCGACTGAGCCCGAACTTAGGAAGGGTCAAGCGCTCGACCTGTTACAGAAGCTGCGAGAAGCGGTGCGAAGGCGACGCGTGATGCAAGCAATGAAACGTACAAATGTCCGACATCAAGGCCCCCAGACTATGGCAGCCAGAACACTGATACGACAAAAGGATGAAATAGACCTTCTTACAAATCGGTATCGTCGGTGCTACAAATCGATGCTGATTCTTGGCTTGCCAAAGGATCACAAACAATACCGGAACCTGGAGGAAAGCGATGTCTATGGAGTGGCATTGACGCAACTTCAAGAAGATCTCGGTACTGGTCGGCAAAGGTTGCCATGGTACTTTCATTTGGGTGCAGAGTTTGCAGCAGCAGACCAGAAATCCAGCTCATCCAATGAAGAATCCCTGGACGAGGCTGGTATGTCTTCTACAAGCCTTTTGTTTGAGTTTTGTGCTAATGGACTTCAGTTAGCAGAGTTACATGGTGGAGAACAAAGGCTAAAGCAGACCGCTGGGCAGAAGAAGAGGAGTTGACTAGGGAAGAAATGCGCCGCACGTTAAAGTCATATACCTTTTGGAGGGACATCTGGTGCCAGAAAGCTGCATCTGTCGGCCAGAGTACGCAGATCGAACGAGGTCGCGCAGCGTATGCCTACAAGCAAAGCAGTGTGTTCGCACGATTGTACGACGAAGGCATAAGCTTGTGCGGTTCACTCTTAATTCCCACATCGACAACGCCTGTCACCACGCTTTCCTGAGTTCAAAACACAGCAACTGGACATGAACGTGAGTTCATGGCAATTGATACTCTAACTACGTGCTGACCAGGTGCTCCAGGTGCTCGTTCGAACGTACTGACGCTCGCTCGCGATTTGACGACAGTCAAATCGCTCGCACAAACCCAACAAGTATCGCAGAACGCTGCATCCCTCCGCCCACATTCGCCCTTCATTCAACCGCACAATCGAAAGCTCCGCTCAAGTCAGACTCGCTTCCCCTGCCTGCTCACCAAGGACAACGTTTCTATCTCTGCTACCTATTCCTCTTCGACTTCAGATCTCGGTGGTGGGACAGACGCTGTGAACAAATACGGTACGTGCTTATTTCTTTGCAATATGTTTCCTAATGCGCGTTCAGAGGACGTTGCGTATGAGGCCTACATGCAAGACCGTCAAGCGTACATCGACCACTTCTTTCCGCCCAACTACGCCTCACACAGCTCTTCCAACGCCTTGTCCGCTGCCATTCCTTTTTCGACCATGGCTCCTACCACTGCTATCCCGAATGTCGAGTTCCAGCCGTCGCCGATTGTCATCAACAACAACTGCACGACGAATATCATCCATTCGAACAACACTACCTATCGCAACAACAACAACTCGCACCACAACAATCGTAGCCGAAACGTTCATGAAGAGGCGAATACTATCAATGAAGCGACGGATTTCGTTGCTCTCTTCAAGAAGTTTTTCTCCGCTGTTACTTGTGGCTATCTCTTCCCGCTCGCCTGGTGAGTTTTTTCTATGCGTTATATGCTTATGTACTGATGCTCGCCTAGAATACTATGAACGGTGACTCGATTCATTGTTCACACTTATGACATTGTAGTTTAGCTGTACGTCTCTATGTTTCGCGTCTACGGTGCATTCGCTGATCATTCTACAGGTTGTATTCCGTGTATTCCGAGTCTGCCGTCTGTCATACTAGGGAGGAAGGAGGAACGCAATACATGAAATTGTGGACTACTAGATTACACTGAACTGGACTGAGTGCGAAACGACCCAGATCGATCAAGATATACACTCAAAGATGGATGGTGAAACGGTTTGGATTACACTGACTTACTGAAATAGTTGACCCAAGCCCCTCTGCGTCGCTTGATGTAGCTCGTGCCAGAGACAACGGAGGCGGGCCTGACGTCCCGCTTGCCCAGCAGCGAAGATTTCAACTCCACCGCACCGCCATGGGAGGCAGGCCTCTGGAAGGCCTGCTTCAAATGATGATGCGGAGAGGAAGATGTGACTTGACGAGTATCCATATACTGAGCTGATTGTTGCCGATCGACGGTACCCAAATACTGGGAGACATGCGGTGCCTTCTGACGCGTTGACGAGACAGGGTATGATAGGATGTCGGTGTGCTGCTCTTTACTCAGTACTTCCGGTATTTCGTCTATCTTCATAGCATTTGTCTTTGCGCCCTGTAGTTGCCACGCAGCGCTGGGAGACCAGGGTATAGGGGAAGTTGCTTGTGAAATACTGGGGAGATCCTTGTCGTTGTCTTTCTCATGAAGGAGGGTGGTATCATCGGCGGTGAAGGTGTGACATCCACCGGAGGGTGATGGTGGAGGCGATGCTGTCAGAGCACCTTCCTGCGCTTCCTGATCCATTCCTGGGGCGATCGATGTCACCTCTGCCGGACGACCATGGTGTGACCAATGAATGCGGGATTGCTCAGAGGGGACATGGTACACCTCCGCGACGTATTGACCAGCAATATGTGGGACGTATGCATGCTGTGCAATCGCGTTTGAAAGCCAAGGGACAGCCCATCCTGAGGAGCCTTTGTGGGAGACCGTCAATGAGAAGTCAGCCGCCTTCTTCAGCTCATGCAGGTCCATGAATCTCGCCCTCAGGGATTGCGTCTCGCGGAGAGGTTGGAGCACTCGGTGAACGGGCTTGGCCAGCGGTGGATGCATGAGTGTGGCCTCAGAAAGCATATGGACGTGATCCTCATCTTCCCTGGGGCGCAGAGACAGAGATCGATCAGGTCAAGGGGCATATGAGGGGCAAGCACTGTGCACCAAGACACTGACTGCAGGTGCGATGTGGCGATCTCCGACCACGGAGCGGAAACAGGATCAAACACAGGCATAGGAACGTCTTGATCACCGAACCCAGACATATTGTCTGAGTGTGCCGCAGATAGAGAGATTGAATCAAGCGTGAGGGCGACCAACGGCCTGACAAGAGTCATTGTTGGGTTGCTTTGGATTCGAGCTGACGAATCTGTTGCATCTGCTACGCGGGATGATGGGGGACTCGCATGAGGGACACTGACAGGGAGATCATATACAACTGCAGCCGGACGCCGGCGTACCAGTGAGGGGGAGAGAGATGGAGGATGATTGACTAGACTCTGCGCTGATGGTGATACCAAAGCAGGGGTGATATCATATTGAATGCAGACATGCTCGATAGATGACTGGGCGGGACTATCCAGTACTAGTGGGGGAGCTTCCTCGAGCATTGGGGGAGGGGAATACGTCGGAGACGGCCGGGGTATCCAATCCGGAGGCGTCCAATCAAACGGTTCTGGGGTGGGCAGTTTGAAGGACCTGCTGACCTTTGTTTGAGATTAAAGCACGGTAGAGGCATAAAAAGATGTACAAGATATCATGACCGGGAGGTCGGCTGGAGAAGACCGTGCGAGGTTGCTGTGGGTTTGGGAATGACGGGAGAGGCATCGAAGGCATTGGTGTTGCTGCTTCTGGAGAAGATGTCCCTGACTCCACGGAGACTTCTTCTGCTGACAGTGGCTCACTGTCCCATGTACGGCCATCGGCATCATCCTTCTTAAGGACCGACTGTGACATTGGTATCACTGCTTCTAGCAACGCTGCAGAAGAGGTGGACGTGGTGGGACGCGGCAAAGTATCCGTCGAATCGGGTTCAACAGGACCCGGCGAGTCCACGGCCTGAGCCGCACCCACTTTCTCATCAGTCTTCGGCTCCGGCAGCTGTATTGAAGTGGGCGAGATGCTGCTATGTCTGCTCGGAAACGACAGGGAGACTTGCGGTTCTTCAGGCCTGGAAAGAGATGTTGGTGTTGGCAAAGATGGGGCTGCGAGCTCCAGAGTAGAAGTGCTGTCGTACAATGCTGCGACAGCACCAAAGATAATCGGAGCTGGAGAGGCTCCTACCGTATCTCGCTCTTGACGTGCCGACTCCCTAGAATCGACTTGGTGATCGGAAATCGCAGGTATCCCATCGGGAATGGCTTGGGGTTCCTCACAGAGTCGCTCTCCTCCCTCGCTTGATTCATTCCGACTCTCGATGGCGTCAGCAAATTGAGCATTTGTTGTCGATGTGTCCTTGAAATGCCCAGGACTATGAGATAAGAGTGGAACGGGCCGAGACCTAGTCTTGTTGAATAAGGGGGAGGAGAGGGGACTTGGAATCTGATTGGCTCTTGGAGTGCCGTAGGAGCTGACATGGAGCTCGGGTTGTAATGAATCCTGTGGTGTGCTTGCCCCGCCGCCTTCTTGTTCATCAAGGTTTACCGGAGAAGGAAGTGTTCGTTGCATCGCGTCGTCAGGATTGGCCAAGTCACGACTCGAAGCGCCTGATCCACGCTGAAGGCTGCCAAGCAGCGAATGGGCGGGATATGCATCCGCCTCGTTTCCCATTGATTCTTTGAGGATGCTGGCGATATAGGCAGCATCTTCAGGACTAAGCTCAGATATATCCAGTTCGATGTCCGGTAGTCTGGCGCTTCCAGTAGCTTTCAGCGTGCCAGCCTGGACATCAATATCCTTTCTAAGAGTGCATGTGAGATGGCGTGCAGCATTGATCTGGAACCCGAGCGACAGATCCGGAATGCCGGTGAACTTCTCCTTTGGCAAAGGGGACGTTCGACCTAATGACGGCGTCAGACAAGATGTGGTGTAGGACATAGCAAGGGCATAACGTAGGAGCATACATGAATCGACCAGCGTAGACGCACCCTTCAGTTTTACCTCTTTCACTGTGGCATGCACATCATCCGATGATGTCGTCCCGCCCACCCAATCTCAGTGCTTGTCATCAACCGCAGTTTCAGCTACCTCCACATCGGTATCGTTATGGGCATCTTCTCCTTCACACGGTGGTCGAGGCTCCTTGGGTGAACTAGCTTCAATCGTGGTCTGTGTCACAACTTCGCTAGTAATAATATGGTCCGTGACAGATGGGTGACTGATGGGCTGTTCTCGTAGTGGGAGGGGTGAAGATGGCGTGCTGAGCAAGGACCGATGCGATGTATATTCTGTGAAACCTGCGAGATGATAATTAGGAGAGAACACAGACGGGGTACCACTGCGAGAGAGAGATAAGCGAGGGAGGTTCTCTCCATCATTTGCCACTATGGAACTCTCGTGCTCTCCCTCATCAACCGCATTGAGGATGTCTTCGAGCCCATGGGCGTCGATGGTGTTGAGCCCATTTTCAAGAGCATCGGAAGGGTGTTCATTCCTTCTGTCTTCACCTATCCACCCCTGATTGTCGACGGCCACAGGAGTATCAGGTGTTATCACGCCACGGAAGGCATGATTGAGTGCATGTTCCTCGAAAGACTCTCCCGGAGATGGTGCGCCAAAGCGTAGAAGTGCAAGTCTCCCGACGAGCTCACGTTGATCGTGCGGGGGGCCTGCTGACGGACCGAACAATCTGCGCGGAGAGTCACCGAGCGAAGGAGAGGGAGATGGGCTTGGCGAGGGTGAGAAAGAACGACTGGGTGATGGAGAGGGTGTTCAGTTTCTCGAGAGACGGTTTGCAGCATTCGACTGCATGCCGAGAGTGGAATATTTGTGGGAAAACGGGGGGGGGGGGGGGGGGGGGGGGGGAGG